ACGACGGCGGGGCTCACGTCCACTACGCCACCTCGGCCGTCTTCTCGGGCGGCGGCTCATTCCTCCTCAGCGGCCAGGTGGATTACGCGGCCTTCGGCGAGCCCGGCCCCTTCCCGGCGTGTCTCAAAGAGCCAGCCGACGGCCACCCTGGTGCTTTCCAGACCGCATCCCCGGCCCCAGGCACCTACCCCAAGTCCGTCTCTCCCGCCTCCGGCCTCCCCGCCGCCTTCAGCACGTTCGAGTGGATGAAAGTGAAGAGGAACGCCTCTAAGAAAAGTAAGTCCGCGGGCCTTGGATGGGGTCACCTGGGGTTGGGGACGGAGGCTCCCTCGCGGAAATGCGCTGGGAGCGTGGTGCCGCTGCCTCTCCAGACAGCGGTTTGGGTTTTGCGGAGAAGACACGTTCTTGGGCGAATTCCATTGAGTCTGCCTCGAGTACAGACTCGGAAAATGTGCCAGGCATTGAGAAAATTTCAGGAAGGAGCTCTCCGTGAAATTTCTCCTGGCACAAACTGTGTTGCTAGGAACCCAGGAGGGCTGCGCTGGGACTTTGATTCTACCTAGCTCCACTGCTCACCCACGTTCTGTCCCCGGCCTCTGGCCTGGCTGACGCCCTGTCTTTACGTTGCAGGCAAACTCGCCCAGTATGGGACCGCTAACCCGTCCAGCGCGATCCGCACGAATTTCAGCACCAAGCAACTGACAGAACTGGAAAAAGAGTTTCATTTCAATAAGTACTTAACTCGAGCCCGACGCATCGAGATAGCCAACTGCTTGCAACTGAATGACACGCAAGTCAAAATCTGGTTCCAGAACCGCAGGATGAAACAGAAGAAAAGGGAACGAGAAGGGCTTCTGGCCACGGCCATTCCTGTGGCTCCCCTCCAACTTCCCCTCTCTGGAACAACCCCCACCAAGTTTATCAAGAACCCCGGCAGCCCTTCTCAGTCCCAAGAGCCTTCGTGAGGCCGGGACTTGGGACCGAAAAACTGTGGCCTGCAGAAGTCCCAGGTCACCCCCACCCCTATCTAGACTTAGGAGCTCAGTTTGGGATGGAGGTGGGAGAACAGAAATGAATAGGGGTTTCACTTGGGAAATGAAGTACTTTAGTTGGCTTCTGAATCCCAGACTATATGTCCAGATATTAATTGGCTGTCTTGTAAGCCACTTGTTTGGTTATGATTTGTGTCTTATCAGGGAAAAGGTGCCCAGTTGCCAGCCCAGCTCTGCTGCTATCTTTGCCTCACTTAGTCATATGCAATTCTCGTTGCAGAGTGGCAGACCATTAGCTGCTGAGTTCTGTCAGCACTCTGATGTGCTCAGAAGAGCACCTGCCCAAAGTTTTTCTGGTTTTAATTTAAAGGACAAGGCTACATATATTCAGCTTTTTGAGATGACCAAAGCTAGTTAGGGTCTCCTTGATGTAGCTAAGCTGCTTCAATGATCTTCACATTTGCACTCCATTTTTTTTTTTCCTTTAAAATGTGGTTTCTACCTCTCTATGTGCCTGAGTGATGATACAATCGCTGTTTAGTTACTAGATAAAGAAATCCACAGAGTGGGTAAAGAGTAGAATCTGAACTATATCTTGACAAATATTATCAAACTTGAATGTAAATATATACAGTATGTATATTTTTAAAAACGATTTGCTTGCAGTGACCTTGTAAGTGACATTTAATGTCATAGCATGTAAAGGGTTTTTTTTTTGTAATAAAAATTGTAGAATCTGCTGCTGTCTGCTTTTCTTACATTCTTTAATCATGATTCTCTTTCTTTAAAGTTGATTCAGTTTCCTGTATTTGAATTTTCTTGATTCTGCTATGAGAATTTGTTTATGTTGATAACTTTATTTATTTATTTATTTATTTATTTTGAGATGGAGTCTTGCTCTGTTGCCCAGGCTGGACTGCAGTGGCACAATCTTGGCTCACCACAACCTCTGCCTCCCAGGTTCAAGTGATTCTCCTGCCTCAGCCTCCCTAGTAGCTGGGATTACAGGCATAAGCCACCACGCCCAGCTATTTTTTTGTATTTTTTTTAGTAGAGATGGGGGTTTCACCATGTTGGCCAGGCTGGTCTCGAACTCCTGACCTCAGGTGATCCGCCCACCGCGGCCTCCCAAAGTGCTAGAATTACAAATGTGAGCCACGGCGCCCGGTGGATAACTTTTAAAAATAATACTTCCTACAGGTTGTGTACGTGCCCAGCAAGTTATGGACAATTATCTCAGTAGTTTAAGAGAGAAAACTACTCTGCCAAATGTCCAAGTAACTATGGAAATACTTTCCTTGCCTTGAGTGTCCTAGTTTTATGGTAGGTGTGTAGTCTGCACATTAACTCAAGTGTTAGGTGCCTACTGTGGAATGTTGTAAAGCCAAGGACACACTTCAGGGAGATCTTGTACTTTTGTCTTCTGTCCTCACAAAAGGAAGAGGAAAGGTGACCTGAAGACTTTGTTTCTTGGTTAGTGTTCCCTGAGAAAGGCAGCTGCACATCAAAAAGTTCTCAGTGGCTGAATTCCCATTTCCAAAGTCAAGAGTTGCAAAGGAGGCTGGGAAAGGCTAGTAGTCACAAATTTCTACTTCCTGTAACCCAGACTGAGTATCTGGCTGAGAGAGCACAGACAGTGCCTTTCTGATTTCAAAAATGAAATATTTTCAAATGAATTCTTTGGAAGAGGTACAAGCACAAAATTTGAAAGTTGACAAGAGAGTATGTGGTTAAAAAAACCCACAAAACCTATTCTCTAATCTATTTCCACCCAACCTCCCATTTCTCATCATGGAGGCATTCATAATTGACTAGAGTTTATATAACCTTGCAGAAATATGAGAAAAAGATGCAACATAAACACACAGAATCAAGTGGATACTTGAGACAATTTTGGGGAGTAGGTTATTTTCCTCATTTTACAGCTGTATCTTTAAATTCTTTCTTTAGTTCAACAGAAAGGCTTAAAGGCCCAAATAATTCAGATAAGAACCTCAGCTCTTTTAGCTATATTTCTAGATTCCAGCATAATGCTTTAAATCTAAGCAACTGTGAAAGATTACCTTTTCTATAAAACAGCAATGTGATTAGTTCTCTTAGAAAATTGGAGTTACACTGAAGTTCTCATTCTTTGCACCTATAATTGAGTGGAGTTGAAGAAATGATCAGCTCTAACAAACTCAGCTGATTAGAGGGAAAAGATATTGCTTAAAAAGCAGGTCTGTCAATATTATTCTTATGTTTCCCCATCTGCCCTTCAATAACTTGATGCTAATTGAATCTTGTTTGAAACAACAGCCCCCCCTCTGAGCTCTGCTGCTATTTGAAAGAACTTGTTAAAGGACTTGTGATCTGCTTGCTTACAGCCACCTCTGGGCTTCCCTGCAGTGGTCTTTGACATGACAATGTTTCCTTTTTGATAAGCATTTAAATGTACACCTAAACAACAACAACAACAAAATACCAACATGCTTGGTCATCTCCTTAATCTACCACCATTTTCTCTGAGAAAATAAAGCTTTTCCTTCTGAAGCGAGTACTAGCACTTAGCCCTGATGGATGTCTTTCTTGATGAGGGTGGCTATTATGACATTCGTATAATGCTGTTCTATGAATCAGGCCAATATTAGCTATTTTTTGCCCAACCCCAGGGATCTTTAAAAGCTTTCTTAATGCAGATCACTGTACAGCTATATTCAGTATTAGGAAGAGTCCTGGCTGGAGATCGGGATGAACTAGGTGACCTCTGGAGGTCCCTCCCAGCAATGAAAATGCTACAATTTAATGACTTCTGCATATTTTATTTTAGACCTATCATTTGAAGGGAGTTAGGTTCTAAGAGAAAGCAAATGTACTCTCTAGGATTACAGTGACACTGTGTTTATACAGGAAAAGAGGATTTTAGACGCTATCAAATACATCTTGTCAGTGGAGTTACCTAGGCAATGTGGATCATTTACAGAGCATTCCTTTTCCCATTTTTTTAAGCCTTGTGTTATTTTGAGTCAGATCTCCATGAAGTGTGAGGTTACTATGTAAACTGCAGCTACTCAAACAATCCCATTTCTATTTTACAAGATTTCTAACTAAATATGCTAATTTACCCTCCAGAAATCTGTTACAAGGATGAATATACTGTGGACAGTTCTGGCTGTTGTATAATTAACTATTCAATGTTCCTTCGTCTTCACATAATGACCATGTGTCTACTTTCCTGGATCAGGATAATTGGGAGTGAGGAAAAGGAAAGCATTTAATAATATATAAAATTCCCATAAGTTGAGTACTAGAAAATGAAGGCTTTGCTGATATAAAAACCTAAAGCAATGTCACCTAGAGTTTCAAAAGATTGTGTGTGATTTATGCTGTCTCAATCTCAAACGTGGTGAGAAGCAACACAGAAGAGGCTGTCTGATTATCATGTCATCCAAAAAAACAGAAGCAGGCTCAGGAGAGTTGCATTAGCTCTGAAGTTCTTAATTATTTCTTTTGGCCAAAGAAATGATCTATATTTGCTGAATATTGAATTTGAAAACCTCAGGATCTAATCAGGTTCCGAGAGATGTTCAGTCTGACCACAGACCTCTCAACAAGAAAAATGCCCATTGTTAAAACTTTATTTGTGGTTTTAAAGTAAAACCATAGTGGTCATATCTCACAAATAAAGATAAATATCCGTCTAAATAGAAACAAAGATGTTCATGGTTTTTACCTCTATCTAATGTTTTCAAGTCATGAACATGCAACATAATCTGCAAAATAACTCTATGTCAACATCTCATTTGTAATTGCTTATTACATTGTACGTGTTATTCAGAAATAAAATTTCTATAGAAACTGTTTGACTAGATTCAATAATGAACCAAGAGGATGAAAATCTTAAATATTGGTGTGGAAGGAAGGTCTATTACTTAGTTTGTAAAGATTTCAACACAATCTCTTTGCCTTCTAGAAATCTTACTGATATATTTTGGAAAGAAGGGCCGAAGAGAGTCATTTGGACTTGTAATAGCTAATAAACTATTACAAGTTTATTAAAACTGACATTTTTGTGGCATTTCTAGAAGGTACTAGACTCTTTAGCACATTGAATTCTTAGGGATTTTGTAGAGCCTACGCTTATACAATTTGGGGAAACCTCTTTAAGGAAAAAAATACAAAATTGTTAATACAAAATTCCCAGGATGTGGAATGGTTCAAGTTAGTGAAGTTTAAATTTCACTGGGTTCATAGTAAATCCATATCTGCCCCTTCCTTGAAACCATTGCTTTTTCTCCACTGCCATCATTGCCTGTGAGATAATAGCAATGACTGCTTTTCTCTAACATCTTAGAGCCAGAGTCACTGTTACTCTTCAAACGCATCAAATAGTGGATAATGGGGACAAGGGCAGGTTGGCACTCTGTTCTACTGTCTTAACATCTCAATCTCACTGTGCTCTTCTGGGCTACTGGGTGGCTGACTTTAACTAGTGGTCTTACTTCACTGCGTTAGAATGGGAACCCTACCTCATCCTAGAGGTCCTCTTCTGTTGCGTTTTCTTCTCAAAGATATGAACAGAAGAGAAAGATATAGCTGGAGACAATGCAGCCACATTGTTAGCATCTAAACATTTCCTAGAATGGAATCACTGAGGCTGAAGTAAAGGACCCTGAAAAAATAACATTATTATTTTTCTTTTCTTAGAAATGGGATCTCGTTTTGTTGCCCAGGCTGGTCTTGAACTCTCGGGTTTAAGTGACCCTCCTGCCTCAGCCTCCCAAGTAGCTGGGAATTTAGGCATGCACTGTCATACCCAGTAAGAACATCATTCTTTTCTTCTTCTTCTTCTTTTTTTTTTTTTTTTTTTTTGAGACAGAGTTTG